AAAGTGTGTATTGGTTCTTAGTACACGAGTCCTATAGTTTGGATGTACATAAGAACACGATAAATTGAATCAAGAAATTTATTGTTCTTTAGAAGATATATCTCTATGAAGGTTCAATATCGGACCTAGCACGTTGAAATGAAATTTCGACGTAGCTATGGTTGAAGGGTATGAAAGTGAACCCGAGCTCAAAGCTAGACGTAGCAAGAGAGCTAGGATTGAAAAATCCTTTGGTCCAGATTTTCTGACGGACATGTTAGAATGTGATGCACACAGTCTAACTTGTTTACTAGGAAATAAATTGGATTTTCTGACATGGTTGTTAGAAAATGAGCCTCGAACATATGTAGAAGTGGTGACTTCTACAGATGGACCAACCCGAGAGAGGCTACCGAGAGTAAAATAGATTCTATCTTAGAGAATCATACTTGGAACTGGTTGTTCTTCCTTCAGGTTGTAAAACCTCGGGATCCTAAACAGATCACTAGTCGAAAGATAAAACCGGTTGGTTATAATGAAGTAAAATGGTCGGGCTTGTAATTGTAGATTACATGCAGCGCGAGTGCCACTGTTACTTCGATATAAATATTCTCTTGTGATGAGAATGAAATCCATTAGGATGATACTTGCCAATAGCCGTTTGGTGAGACTTGGAAGTTCATCAAAATGGATGTATTGCTTTCTTAATAGACCTGGAACGACCTGAGGGTTTGTGGTTCCATACTGTGAAAAGAAAGTGTGTAATTGGTGAGATCGTTGTATGGTTCAAAACAATTGCCTGAGTATTTGGCGTGTAAGTTTTGATCACACAATGATGAGTAACGAGTTTAGTATAAACAAAGGTGACAAATGTCTACGTAATGCATACGATAGACGAGGTTATCACTATTTGTCTATACACGATAAACTCAACGTGGGTAGTAACGATCACATGATCAATTCTACTAGGGTCATGTTAAATTTGAAATTTGACATGAGATGAGTGAGTTTGGCAGATTTAATCTTCGAGATTGAAATCGTGGGAAGTATGGTCTCGTGTTAATCTCACCGAGTTGATTGAATCCTTGTAAAGGAATGATAATCAAGTGGCTTAGACGCCGTTAGATACTAACGTACAACTTGCCGATAATCACGGAGATTGTATTTCTCACGGAAAATACATTTAGATTATCAGTAGTTTAATTGTATCAAATGGGTTGTACTAGGCCGGATATTGCCTTTGCGGTTAACGAACTCGGTAGACATACGAGTAGCCCTAGTGTTGCGCACTAGAAGGCAATAGCAGTTATGAGATACTTAAGGTATGCTCGTGACTTTGGACTGCACAACGTGGGATATCTAGCCGTACTTGGAAAGTATAACACGGATATCAAAGGACGCTAAGTCCATCAAAGGCTACGTCTTTACGTAGGCCAGTGCAGTCGGTTGGATGGAAATTCTCGAAATGAATTTGTGATAGCTAAGATCCGACAGGATCAAAGCTGAGAGCCTTACACTCGTGTCGCGAGCGAGTAGGCTGAATGGCTATGCCATTATTTTGAGAATGTTCCTAGTGGTGAACTCTTACCTCCAATTTGTGTGCATTGCGACAGTCAAGTCAAAAATTGGTTAAGTATAGAGTTAAATGTGGTATGGTAAGTCTAGACTTATAAGTCGTAGATATAATACCATTAAACAATTTCTCACAACGGGGGTTACCTCTATTGACTACGTGATGTCAAAAGATAACGTAGCGGTCGCTAACTCGCTAACCCGAGGGTAAGCAAATGGTTGTGGAGAAGTTGGAACGAGGTTTGGGTCTAAAGCCCGTGGACTAAAAGTTCTATAGTGGATACCCAACCTAGCAAGCACCTAGGTTCAATGGGACAACTAAATTATGGAACGAAGCGTGTCACTGTGGGGGTCTCGGACTCCCCACCACTCTTCGTTAGAAACAGTGGCTCCCGCGCAAGGTTAGCATGTTGATGCTTTAATGATTCGAATGTCGATTGACATGTGTGAGTATGCGGGATACTCGGAAAAGAATCACTTATGTGAGAGAGAAGTGAGGGTCGCTTCAAAGGAGAATTGATGGGCACAATTCTTCACAAACTCTAGCAGAACCAGGACGGTGACCCACGACCAAAATGGGCACACTCATGAGAACAGAGCATGGTTGGGAGGTTCCTGTGTGAGATATGTCATCGTCTACACAAACGGCAGTCGGTTCAAAGACATCGCGTTCTACCATACAGCCAGTAGAGTAAACATATCTTTACAAGGGAAGGTTCAAAGGGTATAGTGATCCCTACCTATCCTATGCAGGGATCGACCGTTGAACACAGTTTGTTTCCGATTTCAAAATACCCTGAAAATCAATTTTTCATTCATGTGGGGGATTGTTGGAAAAAATAGCTTAAAATGGCATAAAATGACATATTAAGTGGCTATTTTGTGGTACAATTATAGTGGGGTCCACTTCCGATTTGGGTCGGGTCAAAGTGGATTCGGGTTCTTCGTAGTGAGACGAAGAGATTGATATATTGTACGCTCAAAACGGATAATGGGTGAATGAGATATTGATTCTCAAAGTAGACCCATTTGAGTTGGAAAATGAAGGGAAAAGTGAGCTTTTGTCCCACATTGGTTTGGGAAGAGGATTTGCCCCACTATTTATACAAGAGCTCTTTTTAAGTTTATTGAATTGTATAGCATAAAGGCTCTCTTTCGCGCGCAGGGGGGGGGGGGGGTGCAAATCAAATCCCAGAATGAGATCGAAAAGGCTTGGGTCAAACTTCGGTATTCATTTTTCGACACAGCCACTGGAGAACACGAAACTTTGTGATGATTTCATGGGGGTTAGTGTGCAAGTTTCGGCCACTTGGCCGAAACTTTGTTTGGGCCAAATGGATGGCCCAAACTTTGCAATTGCAAAGTTTCGGCCAAAGCCAGTTTCGGCCTTTGGCCGAAACTGTGCTGGCCAAGCACAGTTTTGCAGCATCCCTGTTGTGACCGTTGGGGTCTAATTCATTAGCTGTTACTGGAGTTAATTTTTTAATTAATTCCAATTTCAATTTTGAATTAAAACCTATGTAATGGTGGATGTTATAAGAGTTGTAGGGATGCCCCTAAATGCCATAATAAAGGCTATTCACTCCTCACTCCCTATATAAGAAGGAGTTGAGCAGTAGCTTTTGAACACACAAGAAAAAAATAATTTTTCCAGCCTCAAAATACTTCTGCTTCTACTCCTTTCTTGAAGCTGTGTTTTGCCCGTGCTCTTGTTCGCCGGGTTCGTTCGTTTGGGTGCTCAAACGTCGAACCGTTGTACGTTTTATCTTGGGAAACCTAGGCCACAACGCTCCTAGCACTTTTGGGAGGTGGCAAATAAGGTTTTAAGGAAAGAAAGGCACTCGCCTAACTCGTACATTTCTTTCTTCCTTCTCCTTCTTTCTTGTTTTGGATTATGCTTTTAAGCAAAAAACCGTTCTCCCTCTTTTGATATATTAGTTGGATTGGACTTATAATCTGAGGATTATTAGTTTCAATTTTGGTTGATATATATTGGTATATCTTTTTCGTAGATATACATGTATATATAACCTTTGAATCCGTTTTATACACATTTGTGTGTATATATATATATTTCGGATAAATATCCAATAATATTTTATATACTTGTGTGTGTATATATAAATTATATTTTTGGGATATTAAATCGATTGTGGTTCATTATCACCAACTAAATGCACTTGTCATCCTGGGTTTGGTCCTCTAAGTCCAACAGAACAGAAAAGGGTTTGTAATTTTGCATTCCCTCTTTTTAAACAGATTAACTGGATTAATCAACTGATGAAAAGTACTGATTTAGCGATGAAGTCAGTCAGTAATAATAAATCATAGAGACGATTAAAGAGAAGAGAATAACACAAAGCCAAAGACACAAAATGTTTACCCAGTTCGATACAGTGTGTATCTACGTCTGGGGGACGATCACATAGGCGTCCAATCCACTAAATCATAATCCAATGTACAAAGGGAGATATACAATAATCTTACCCATGTGCCCCACACAAGGTACATACCCAGTCTACACAGGTTTAGTGGATTGTTGAAGATGGAGAGCCATGCATAATGAAGTCCAATGAAATCCCTTCACTTGGAGAGCCCACTCTGATGCAGTCCACTTCAATGACGCTCTGTACAGTTGTTCCCACAACAGTGTGATCACAGTGTCCTTTCGTTTAAGCAGCACTGATTCTTCTCAAGTTCATCATCTTAATCACCAGGAACATATTGTATTGAGAAGATGCATGACAATCAAAGATCTAGTCTCATATAGCAGATGTGGAGTGTTTCTTCTTGCGTAAGGCGTAACCCTAATTCTCTTAGAATGATGGTACTTATAGATCCGTCGATAGAACACTCCTTCCAAAGATGTCTTTGATTGTAGATGGTAGGACAATATTTGAAGAAAGTAATCTTAAAGATTCGGTCCATACCTTTCCAAAGCAGATACGCTGATCTTCCTTCCAAATCTGTCTCCTGTAAACCGCGTACAGCTTTTAAGTCAAAACCTTCTTAAATCAGATCTTCAATGTCAGTCCTTCTGTTGTTGCTTCTGATTGATCAGTCGTATGTAGAGCTGGACGGACACAAGCTAAACCTATCTTAGTATGCCATAATAATATTGCCAATTATAAGATGGGGTTTTTGAACAATTAAAAACACTAACAAACTCCCCCTTTGGCTATTATTTGGCAAAACAACTCGACTATATAGATAGACAAAAACATAAAGAACTAAGATAGGTTATTATAAAGAAACAACCCATGAGTCAGATCTGATTACATAGCAGAACGAAAACAAAACAAAAGATCAAAACACAGTTTAAGATCAATCTTCAAAAACATGCAGTGGTGCCATCAAAACAACGCCCAGCCAGGGCCAGAAGGTACACAAACACAAAAACTCCCCCTGAGTTCATACTACTCCTCCTTTTTGCCAATGAGAGCCAAAGATCAAGCATTGGAGGGAGCGTCACTGCCGGACTTCGCAGGTTCAGCAGCAGCAGCTTCAGACAGGCTCAAATGATGAAGAACGGTTGCCAGCTCAGTATGGGCTCCTGTCAGTTGTTTAGCAATAATGCTGTGAACTGTCTCAAGGTTAGAGACCTTTGCTTTCAACTGAATGGAGAGTTGAAGATCCCTTGCATGGGGCGAGTCATCAGCCACAGTATAAGGTTCAGAATTGGAGGGGGCAGTCACCGGAATAACATCGCAAATGTGATCTCCAGTCAGAAGACGCTTATCAACAGTATAGAGCAGAGTTGGACTGATCACTTCACTCGGCACAGGCTCAAGACCCTGAGATGTAAGAATGCCATAAATCAGATTCAGGATGGGTAGCCTTACCTTCTGCTCTCGTGGGTGAATCATGGTGAGGATGTGGTGGTAAATCCAGTTCCCCAAATCAATCGGCATCTTTGCTCCAATTTGAAACAAGAAACCTGCCAGATGCTTGCCAACCGTGTGGAAATGAGCTGATGGGAGCCAGTTGTGAAGAGCCAGGCGATGCAGAATAACATATCTGGATGTGAGTTGAGAGCTCTGCAGATAATCCTTATCACCCGTAGGCCAGGCTTCAATTTGTCCACCCGTAAGAATTTTGGCCACCAAGTTCCAGTCTGTGATCGCCTCTTCTTGCATAGTAGTCAGTCCATAGTATTCATTGATCATGTCAGGCCCAAAAAAGTACCACTTCTCTCTGATGAAAATCTGCATTGGTCGTGGCCCGGTTAAGATGTCAATCTCTTCATTGAGATTACAGTAGAATTCATACGTGAGGAGCTTTGAGTAAGGGCAGATGGCAGTGACAGTCTTCAGCAATCCTACTTCATTCAGTAGAGGTAGAATATCACATACGGAGTTCAGCTGGTTCTCATCCACAGATCGTTGAACAATAAGGTCTCTTCTGACCATAGTAGACCATTTGGCCTGAGCAGCAGGAGATACAAACTGAGGCTTGTAAACAGATGTGTCAGATCCTTTAACAGGTTGAACTTCAGGAGTTATGCTTCGACCTCTGGAACGTGTGGATGGTTTCTTTCTGGTAGATGATGTAGGTACAGCAGCAGGTTGAACAGCCGTAGGGCCCTTTTGTTTAACAGAAGATCGCAGTGTCTTGAAAACTTGTTGGATAGGTGGATTAGCTTCAGATTTGACTGTTTCACTAGACTTCCTTTTCTTCTCAGGTTGATCTACATCAGCACTGTCATCACCTGTCTCAACAACAACTTTCACAGGAACATTCTTCTTTTTAGACCTTCTAGTTTCTTTGGTTGGGGATTGAACAGGAGTCACAGAATGACTGGAATCAGATACTTGAGCAGAAGAGCCACCAAGCAGATTAGTAACCTCTCGTATTTTGAATTTTGTGGAGTCAGGATGAGCAGTGGCCTCAACGGTTGGAATGTCAGATGGAGGTGCTTGAGACCCATAAACTTCAGCCAGAATCTTATCATCTTCGCTGGAGGATTCAGATGGGTGAATCACTCGATACGGTTGAGGAATCGAAGCAGACGGTAGGCCAGCAAAATGTCGCACATGTTCCAGACTTTCACCTAACGATGTGGCAGTGTAGACTAGGATTCCACCTGTTTTCTCAGACTTATGGGGGCTTGTGAGGTCAACAGACTCAACATTAGCAGGTAAAACAGAAGGATCAACAGCAGGGCAAATTTCTTTTGGATTAACGGCAATCTCAGCAGGAGGCAGAACAATATTATCAGAAGAGAATACAACTAAACTCAGATTATTGGGCTCATCAGATGATTTTTCTTTCTCATCAGACACATGCAAGACATCATTTTTCACACAATCAGACTCACTCAACGGCAGGGATGAAGGATCAACATTTACATGGGGTTTCTCAGAGTTCAAAGCAGATAAGTTTTCAGTATTAACAGGCACACAAGACGGAGTAATAGAATCATCAGGTTTATCTGGTGAAATTTCAATAGGAGAATCAGAATTGTTTGACCTGTTTCGGAGGATCTCCAGTCTGTGTCTTATCTCTTTTTGAGCAGCTTCGAGATACAGGGGCTGCGACTCTGCTCGCCGTCGAGAGACCTCAGCAGATTCTAGGGCTCGTTGTGTAAAATGTCGAAGAAATGCCCCTGCCCGATTTCCATCCGAGGGTTCTGGAATAGATACTGGAGAAACCTCATCACTGGCTTCAGAAATCATCATCAGCAGTTCAGTTGCATCGTCTTCAGACCATTCAACATAAAACTCTGGGTAGTTCGTCATAACAGTTACCAATATCTCATTACGAAGTAGAGGATCAAGCTTGAGTTTCTTCTTCATAGCAAACTGTAATAGCGTCTGAATATGCTTAAGAGCCACCTCTGGAGAACATGTCTTGCTTCCGAGTTTGATGATGATATTTCTTACTGGGTCCGCCATTGGAGATGTTTGTGAGAGGAGAAGAGCAAATCAAGGAAGGCAAGGATGCAGAGATAGAGAAAGTCTGAGTGCTGAGATACTCGTAGATATTTTTCTTCTTGGCCCAGTAACAAATAGACTTAAGGGTGATGAACCCTTATCAATGTGGCTAGCCAAATAGCATGCAGACGCGATTGATTGACACAACGATACAACTTTTTTTTAGGAAGGAAACGGAACCCAAGGAAATTTGAATTTCGAAAAAGGATTAGGGATCTTTAAGATATCTTTAAGATATAATATGTTATAGAAACCACTTAACAAAATAGAGATGAGTCTTAAAAGGAAGTCGAACCAAAAGACTGACCCGTATAAATAATCCTTCACTCCTCTCTGACTGACCAACTGCTTTATTAGTCAATTCTGCAAATTCCCAGAGCAGACCTGAGAGTTTCAAAACGATTTGCGTCTAGTGGCTTAATCAGAATATCCGCCAGTTGTTTGTCAGTTTGAATATATTCCAATTCAATCTCCTTGGATTCAACCAGGTCTTTGATGTAATGATGCCTGATATCAATATGCTTCGTTCTGGAATGTTGAACTGGATTCTTGGAGATATTAATAGCACTGACGTTGTCACAATAGAGTGTCATAATCCCTTGAGTAAGACCATAGTCCAGCAACATCTGTTTCATCCATACCAACTGAGTACAACATCCACCAGCAGTTATGTATTCTGCCTCTGCAGTGCTTAATGAAATTGAATTTTGTTTCTTACTTAGCCACGATACCAAGTTCTTACCAACAAAGAAGCATCCTCCAGATGTACTCTTTCGATCATCAATGTTTCCTGCCCAATCAGCATCACAGTATGCAACAAGACTCAGTTCACTGTCCTTGGAGTACCAGAAGCCATACTGCATCGTTCCCTTTACATAATTCAGAATGCGTTTTGCAGCTATCAGGTGTGATTCCTTTGGATCTAATTGATACCTTGCACAGATTCCAACACTGAACATTATGTCTAGTCGACTAGCTGTTAAATACAACAGACTGCCTATCAGGCTTCGATAGACTGTGTTATCCACTGATACACCGGTTTCATCTTTTGATACTTTTGTGGAGGTAGAGATTGGTGTCCTGGATGGTTTACATGATTCCAGATCAAACTTCTTGACTAGATTTTTAGCATACTTTTCTTGTGAGATAAAGTATCCTTCAGGGCTTTGCTTGACTTGTAGTCCTACAAAGTACGTCAGTTAACCAACCATGGACATTTCAAATTCTTCCTTCATGACTTTTACTAACTCGTCAGTGTATCTTTGTAAAGTTGACCCAAAAACAATGTCATCAACATAGATTTGGGCAATGGTTACATGACTTCCAGTAGTCTTCACAAACAAGGTTTTGTCGACACTTCCACGTTTATACCCCAGCTGGAGCAGATACTGTGTCAATCGTTCATACCATGCCTGTGGGGCTTGTTTGAGACCATAGAGAGCTTTTCGAAGCTTATAGACATATGATGGATGGTCTGGATCTTCGAAACCTTTAGGTTGAGCCACATAGATATCTTCGTGCAGATAGCCATTCAGGAATGCTGTCTTAACATCCATCTGAAACAGTGTGAATCCCAAACTACATGCGACAACCAACAGAATCTTGATTGACTCGAGTCTTGCTACAGGAGCAAATGTCTCATCATAGTCAATCCCTTCGATCTGAGTGTACCCTTGAGCCACTAGCCGAGCTTTGTTCCTGGCTATATTCCCAGCTTCATCAGTTTTATTTTTGAAGATCCACTTTGTTCCAATTATGTTGACACCATCAGGTCTTGAAACTAGATCCAAAACATGATTTCGATCAAACTGATGTAGCTCTTTCTGCATTGCCTTGATCCACAAATCATCCTGTAAAGCTTCATTAACATTCCTGGGTTCTATCTTTAAGGCATAGCAAGCAGACCCAGATATTTCTATTAGATTATTTCTTATTCTGCTCCTAGCCTTCATCCCATCTGTTGGATTTCCAATGATGTTATCTGATGGGTGATTTTTCTGAGTTCTGGTGGGTTTGTCTTTACCAGTATCATTTATGAGATTTGTCTCCTGTTCCGAACTTTCTTGATCTTCATATGAGGATTCTTGTGATTTGGGCTGACTGTTGCTATCTGCAGTATTTGGTTCACTGAGAGGAAGCTTTGTCACTGGATCTGTCACTGTTGTGTCTACTGATTCTTCTGGACTGTCATCTATAACCACATTTACTGATTCCATCACAGATTGAGTTCTCTTGTTGTAGACTCTATAGGCACGACTGTTTGGAGAGTATCCAAGGAAGATGCTCTCATCACTCTTAGGTTCAAACTTCCCTCTTTGTTCTCTATCAGCCAGCACATAACACTTTGTCCCGAACACATGAAAATACTTCAGGTTTGGCTTCTTTCCCTTCCAGATCTCATATGGTGTTTTGGTTGTTCCTGGTCTAAGATAGACCCTATTTACAGTATGACAGGCTGTGTGTACTGCTTCAGCCCAGAAGCGCTGCGGCAGATGAGAGGCATGTAGCACAACTCTAGCCATTTCTTGTAATGTTCGATTCTTTCTTTCCACCACACCATTCTGTTGAGCAGTTCTAGGGGCTGAGAACTCATGTGATATACCGTGCTCGGAGCAGAAATCTGAATATAGTGAATTCTCAAATTCTTTTCCATGATCACTCCTCAATCTCTGAACTTTTATTATAGACTCATTCTTTTCCTTCTGAACCCTTATGCACAGAGTTTTAAAGGCCTTGAATGCTTCTGATTTTTCTCTTAAAAAGTATACCCAGCTGTATCGAGAGAAATCATCTACACACACAAATATGTATTTCTTTCCCCCAATGCTTTTAGTTTGTGTTGGCCCCATGAGGTCTATGTGAACGAGATCTAGACACTTCTCAGTGGTGATGCCTCTTACTGCTTTGTGCGGAGTTCTGATTTGTTTCCCAATAGCACATGCACCACAGACTTTTTCCAGATCTATTATGATCTTAGGTACACCTTTCACAGCTTCCAGTTTTATCAGCTTATCTATATCTCTGAAGTTTTCGTGACCCAGTCGTCTATGCCAGAGTTTTGATTCATCAGATTTGGATAGGTGACATGCAGTTTCATTTTCCAACACATAACAATTGTCTGAGGACCGGGTTCCTTCCATGACAAGTTGATTAGCTTTGTCACTAACTCTGCAGCAGTTACGATCAAAGCACACATTCCAATTTTGATCACACAACTGACTGATGCTAATCAGATTAGCTTTCAACCCACTGACTAACAGAACTTCTTCTAATTGAGGCAGACCTGGTACAATCAGGGTACCTTTTCCAACTATTTTCCCTTTTTGTCCATCTCCATATGTTACAGCTCCACTGCTAGGTTGAACCGCCATCAGACACTTTACATTTCCAGTCATATGTCTGGAACAGCCACTGTCGAAATACCATCTAGCTTCAGTTGTAGACGTAGTCAGAACTATAGTGGGGTAGCATATAACTTCTGACTTTCTGACCCAAACCTGTCTAGTAAACGGTGTGATAGTCTTGTTCTGATATTTTTCCTTCCTTTGATCTCTGTAGAAAAAATAACATTCAGGCCGAGTATGACCTTTTGTTTGACAGTAGTGACAAATAGGAGTGTATTGTCTAACTCTGACAAGCTTATTTTTGAACCTTGAATAATGAGATTGATGCGTTACTTTGGCAAGGTCAGTATCTGCAGTCTGATCATATCTCCTTCTCTTGTCATTTTTCTGCACTGACCGAGATGACTGTCCTTGTTCAAAGCTGTGAACTGCTGTGGTCATAAACATACCCTCTTTGACAAACATAGGTGCATTATTCGAAGATTCACCTCGTTCAAATCGTAGACCCTTTTTATCATTAGGATTTCTGCCAGAGTCTAGAATCTTATCTATGGTTGATGTGGTGTCCATCATCTGGATATTTTTCTTCAGACTCTCCAATTCCTTTATCAGTTTTCCTTCTCTGGATCTTATCTGAGTGATGAGATCTTCCTTTATGACAAGGTCTGTGTTCAGTTTTTTTAGAAGATCATCCCTTTGCTTCAACTCGTCATTCAGATTTTTATTGACTTTCACAAGTTGTTCTCAGCTTGCAACAAGTTTAGCAAATTCTATTTCAAGTTGAGTATGTCTCTCTTCAAAATCATCAGTTGATATGTAAGATTCTTCATCTGATTGGTTTCCGTCTGACTGAATGTCTGTAGATGTAAAGAAGGCTACAAAGTTTTCCCACATTATCATCTGACTGATCATTGGATGTTTCCTCCTCATCATCACTTAAAGTAGCTACTGACATAGCTTTTTTCCTCTTGAGATACGTTGCACATTTAGCCTGTATGTGTCCATACCCTTCACATTCTCTACACTGCACTGACCGGTTGAGGGACTTCCTTGTATCTGTGGAGCTGTTTCTGTTCTGTCTTGTTCGACCAGTCTGAGATTGATTGTTCTGTGAAAAAGGTGTTGTTTTAGCTTTCTGATATGAGGAGTTATTGCCTTTGTATTGTGTCCTGGTGGGCTGACCTTGACTTTTTCTGTTGAAACCTTTTAAGATTTTCTTGAAATTCTTGGTTAGAAGTGCCAAAGTTTCATCATCTATATCGTCTGTGTCAGATCCTCGATCAGCCTCAGCCACAAAAGCCACTGACTTTCATTTTCTGTTGCTTGCAAGATCATCATCAGCAAGCACTTCTAGTTCATATGTGTGTAAGCTTCCCATAAGTTCTCCGACAGTCTTCTTTTCCCAACCTGTGTGTTCCTGAATAGCAGTTACTTTCATCCGGAAGCGTTTAGGCAAAGATCGAAGGATCTTTTTGACTACTCTCTCATCAGTGAAAGGTTCACCAAAAATTGAGGCTCTGTTCATCAGATTCTGAACCCTACTGTGGAAGGTCGAAATGGTTTCCTCTTCATTCATTCTAAGGGCTTCGAATTTTGACAGTACCATTTGTAGCTTTG